GTCCCGAGCCGCGATCACTCCCCCCGAGCCGCGATCACACAGCTCGAGCTGCGACCACTCTGCCCGCGACCGACCGAACCGAACGACCGACCAAACGAACTAACCCCCCCGAGCATGACGTTATATGGTCTGGAATAGCTCTTTGGTCAGTTTGGGTTAGCTGTGCTAGCTGTGCTGTACTCCCAGCTTGTTATGCACCTGGACGAGCAGAAGAAGCTCAAAAAGTCCTTGAGTAGTTTGAGCACTACTTGGCAACAGCTGAAAACATCAGTGTGTTATCAACATTCTTCTGGTACTAAATCCAAAACACAGCACTATGCTAGCTACTGTGAAGAAAATTAACTCTATCCCAGCTGAAACCAGGACAGGTGCTCACAAGGTAATTGGTTCTGCTATTTTAACTGGCAGGTGCCTTTTGCTCCTAAGGAACTTAAAGTTATTTTGTATAAAAATGGGTTTAGGGGAGGCAAGTGTGAGGTTTGGCATTGTTTTCACTTCTGGGTGAAAACAAACTCCGTCCAGGAGAATTAATACTTGCCATGGTATCTGGAGAAGTTCTTCCTCTGTTTGTGTGATGTAAACTTAGGGAATCTGGTACCTGGGGCAAGAAGAGTGGGAGCTGGAAGGCTCACTTACACCTTTCTTTTCTGTTACTCTATCTTTGAAAAGATTTGGCTTTCTCATCAGCTGCTCCAGCCTGAAACATGGAACAGTTGCCCGAGCTAAATTGTAGGAAATGCTTGGGCAGTGGAGCTGGTAAAGGCTACTACTCCTCTAGTCTGAAATCTCACGTTGTAACACATTTGTCATGGCAGTAATACCCAACTGTGGTGTTGGATGAACTTGTAGGTCTTTGGTTCTACATAAATAGTTGCAGAATGAACATGATTTTAAGCTAAGATAAGGATTTCTTCATCTTGATCCTTTGGATTTTGAATTGCCCAACTATTACAAGCTAAGACTTGTTAATATTTGACAATAGGTCGCCTGAGAACAGAAGAAGGAGAGCCAATGGTGTTGAAGCTTAAAGACTGGCCTCCAGGAGAAGACTTCAGAGATATGATGCCTTCTCGGTATGAATTTACTAAGAAACTTAGTAAACTTCATCAATTGTGTGGTTACACCCCCAGAATAATGGAACGTAGGAATACTGTTATGTTTTGACATCTGCTTCAGCTTTGAGAAGCAGTTGGTCACATGTGAGCCATTTTGTTTCTCAGAGAAGCCTGACACAGCTGGAAATGCTAAACAAGTTTAATGATAAATTTTTATGTAGTTCATTGTACTTGTTGCTAAGTAAAGTGGGTACCTGAAATTGCTAATGATTGGTTAAACTTTGGAAGCTTCCTAAAAGCCGAAGTCATTTTTGAAACCTAAAGTTCAGTTGAAGTTTATTTTTTTGCCAAATGTTTTTAAGTATTGTGACTTACTCTATTTGATACTAGTCGAGGTGATTACACAAGGAAATAGCATTACTCCAGAGCAGTTAAATTTGTTTATCTGCTGTATTCCTGTGTCTTGCTTGTTTTGTTCCTTTTCATGGTCTCCAGTAAACCCCCTGGGGGAAGGAGTACAGTTTTTCAACTGAAAAAAGCTTTTGTTGCAGACTACTTTAGTCTGGGGTTGGTTTTTTTTTTTTTTTTCCAGTTTCTAACATTAAATTGTGCTGTATTACTTCAGGTTTGATGATTTGATGAAAAATATTCCATTGCCAGAATACACTAGGAGAGGCGGCAAGCTCAACCTTGCCTCTCGACTACCCAACTATTTTGTGCGACCGGATTTGGGCCCTAAGATGTACAATGCATATGGTAAGGAATTTTTCACTCTAAAGGTCACATTGACCAGACATTCAAATAAATTTACTGTAAACTAAATTAATTCTTGTTGTTGTAGACAATTTGATTAATCCCATTGATCTGAAAACCTAATTATTGGCTCGCTTATAGGTATTAGTGATGTCCAGAGCCTTATATGACTTTATTAAATGTTTTTTGCTCAGGTGGTTTCAAGCCAATATTTATTCCCAGTCTTCCAATCCACTTGGTCCCCATGTGTGTACACAGCCCCTCTTCCCTGTAGCTGGCCACATGTATCTGTTGTTTTTCTACTTCTGGCTGTATCACTCTTGTTACTTCTCCTTTTTGGGCTGTATTTAGTTTTTAATCTCTTCTTGAGCAGTTCTTTCCATGGCTAGCTCATCTGCCATCACTCAAAAGGCATTTAAAACCAAGCATGATCGTGGCCAGAAGAGATCGTGGCTAGTAAATACTGTAGCAGCTGCCTTTTAGAGTGGAAAAAGAGACTGTTTCTGAGAAGGCTTTATTCTAAACTGCTGTAGAAACCCTCTTCTAGCAGGACTGAAACATGACTTTATATATCAGGCAGGCTAGGTATCGATACAGATCAATGTGTCAGCTTGATGTCTCAGCCTGTGAACTGATCGCTTGGGAAGACACAAACAGGATGGGGCAAGGTCCTGGATATAAAGTATATTCCTGTACTGGAATCATTTGCTGATAAAAGTAAAAGCTCTGGTCTTTTCAGCTAGCGCTGCTGAGAGTGGCATAAAGTTTCTTTTTGTCTTGCTAATCTACCTGCTACTCTCTTACCCCCCCACCCCAGGCTTAATAACACCAGAGGATAGAAAATACGGCACAACAAACCTCCATTTAGATGTGTCTGATGCAGCCAATGTTATGGTTTATGTGGGTATCCCCAAAGGCCAGGCTGATCAAGAAGAAGGTAAAGTCTTTCTTGTGTTCTGGGGGGGTTATTTCTGTGGCTGGAGGGAAGGTCCCTTAGTGAACTGCTTGTGTTTACTCTCAACAGAAGTGCTTAAAACCATACAAGATGGTGATTCTGATGAATTGACAATTAAGCGTTTTACTGAAAGTCGAGAAAAACCTGGAGCTCTGTGGCATATTTATGCTGCTAAAGATACAGAGAAAATCCGGGAATTCCTTAAAAAGGTAAGCTGTTATATCTTAAACTGATCTTCTGTCTGTGTAGGCTGGCAAATAGGTACCCTTGGACTCTTCTCCTCCTTTCTATCCCAGTTGTTCTGGAAACAAACGTACCTGAGTTGTATCCAAGACTGAACTTCTCCTGTGCCATGAATCTTGTAGGATCTGAGGAGGGTTGTGAGTTGAAGCTTGAGGTTATCCTGTATGCAGATACACTGCTGTTGCCCACGCTGCTTACAGCACAAGTAATGAAGTTACATAATGAATAAAAACATAGCTGGTTTAGATTTAAGCAAAACCATTTTCATCTTTAATTAGATCCTTCTTAAAAGCATGCACATGAGATGCTCTTGGGAAATGTCAGAGCAATATGTGGTCTGTAAAATTCTTCCTTGTTCTCTCCCTCTTCCTACTTTTTTCTTTTTCCCCATACCATTATGAAGTTTGGATTAAGGGAAAAGCATGAGGTATTTTGGGTGATGTTTTCATGGGAGTTAAAGGTTTAGCAGAGATGTGATGCTACATCCAAAAGGGCTTGTTTCAGTATTTATATTTACCACAAATCATAGAATCGTAGAATGTTTTGGGTTGGAAGGGACCCCTAGAGGTCATCTAGTCCAACCCCCCAGTCCAGTGTTCTTGGTGGTCTTAATTCTGGAGCTTCTTTTTGGGCTCTAAAAGGGGGAAGAGCTCATATGCTGATGTGTAAAAGGAGAAATGGGATGATCTGATTGACTGCTGGCCTTGTCAGCCTTGCTGCTGTCTCGGGCAGAAGCTTAGAGAGGCTGAAGCAGATTTGTTTAGGATCAACAAAGAACAAATCTTACACTTGATAAAACATGATGCTGAATTTGATAAGCATTGGCATTTTGAGTTTTGACATTTGAGTCTCTCACCTCTTCTTGGTCCCAGTGTACATGCCTGCAGGTGTGAAGCTTTCAGCAGCTTGTCTTGGAGTAGAACCAAGCTGTTTATCTCCTCCCAAATGAGTTTTTGGGCTACAGTCCTGGGTGTGAATGGTTGCCACAGCAAATTGTATTTATACTGGAACTTTTTGCAGAAATTCTCTCCTCACAGCCCTCAAACTTCTCTTCTGAAGTGCTTTTTGTGCCTCCCAGCCTTGTTTCTCCTGAAAACCTAGTTTGAGTCCTCTGGTTTGCTCAGTGAGCACGCTGACTAGTGCTGGCCTTGGGGCAGACACCCACCAAATTCCACACTCAGTAGTTTCTTCCAGTTACAGGCCATAGCAGTGTAAGAGTACTGATCCCACATATGACAGCAGTTCCCACTGTGAACACGCCTGAGTTGCTTAACCCGTCTGTTTCTTCTTACCATAAATGAGGTTTTCTTGCATTTCCTATATCCGCGTTTGCAATGTGTCTGTGAAGCAGGAGGGACTGAGACAAACTAAGGCCTGAATAAGAATCCAAACCATTCCTTGTGTAACCCTCGGACCTGAACGCAGGGCGCAGGTCCCTGTCTGGCATGCATGCATATGGAATATCACAGATGCATCTCGATTGTCCAGTGAGACTGGTATATTGTAATTCCTGTCGTCTTGTGACTTTCCAGGTTGCGGAAGAACAAGGTCAAGAAAACCCTGTAGATCACGATCCCATTCATGATCAGAGTTGGTACTTGGACCGATCGCTAAGGAAACGCCTTCATCAAGAGTATGGAGTTCAAGGCTGGGCTATTGTACAGTTTCTAGGAGATGTAGTTTTCATTCCAGCAGGAGCTCCGCACCAGGCAAGGACCAGGGACACCGTTACAGCCTGACCACTTGGGCAGACTTTTGAGCGCATGGCTAATGCTTGTTTGTTCTCTCTAGGTTCATAATCTGTACAGTTGTATTAAAGTTGCGGAAGACTTTGTATCCCCAGAGCATGTCAAACATTGCTTCTGGCTCACTCAGGAATTTAGGTATCTGTCGCATACGCATACGAACCATGAAGATAAATTGCAGGTAACTTACCAATGCTCAAGCTGAACCCTGCTCCTCTTAACCCTTTCAAAAAAACCCACCAAAAATCAGCAAACCACCCTCACCAAACCCACAGGGGGTGTGTCTGTGCAACCCAAGTGGCTCTCATGCTCCCATCAGCTTTCATGCATGCTCAGATCAGCTTTCATGCATTGGATCATGAAGAGGAATTTCCACGGGTTTTAGTGTTCCTTAGTAGTTTTGAGGAAGCCTTCTGAAGTTTCTCCTGAGATTCTTTCGAAATGCTTCTTTCTTCCAATTCTTCCAATTGTTTTCCCTCTCGCTGAGCTTGCAGTACACTTCTTGAGCTACAGGGTGCCCCTTTATATCCTGCTAGAATTTGAACCTTGTTTCATAAGTCACCGATTTAAGCGAAGCCCGTGCAGGTGAGCATGTTGAGGAGAGCAGCGGGGGGTGTGGGGACGCGGGCCAGCTGTGCGAGCGTATTCTGTGTGTCAGGGGCTTCCAGCCTGACCTGAACCGTGCTGCTTGCGCGTAAAACTAAACGCCTTTTTCCTTTCCTCCAAGGTGAAGAATGTCATATACCACGCTGTTAAAGATGCCGTCGGGATACTGAGAGCTAACGAATCCAGCCTTAGCAGACCGTGAAGCAGAAAGCCTTAACCACACACTATGAAACAGAAGCGTTGGCAGCTGTTTTAATTACTCAGTCAGGACCTCTGTGGACTTTGAGATTACATGAATGTTACCTCATCTTCCTTTCAGCAGTACCAGAGGATCGTGGTACTATGTTCTGTGTATTCTTCCAATGTTTACAAACCTGATGTGTATATGTAGTAATATGTATGGACTGTGGCATACTGTGAATGCTCAGTTGCAACAGAACTTTATATGGAGTTGCTCTCCAAACTGTACAAAATACCTCCTATAGAACTGTCGGAAACTATTCCAAATTACTCGTTTGAAAAATATTATTCAAGACATTGTAAAGCTCCACTTTTTAAAATTTATTTTGGGGTGGGAGGCAGTACGGAGTCACGTGATTTAATAACCAATTTACATAAAATAAGAATGCGGTTCTGGAATTTCACATTAACATAGAACTAGCATTTAAAAGTAGCTTTAAGCTATTGTATAGTAACATAGAGATGGGGGTTAACCATCTTTAGGTAAATGTATTTAAATTTCTAAATGTTAAAAGAAACTTTTAATCAAATGTCTTCTGTTTGAAACTGCTCTTTAATTTGAACTGATGTTTGATTCTCTGGTTTTTAACACTGAATGGTCTACATAAAATTCTTCTATTTCAGATATTGTTCCTTGCCTGGCTTCTTCAGTTGACTCTTTACAATGTAATTAATTTGATGCAGTGCTTTGGAATGCAAAAGAAAATAGTGTATGGTGTGCATACAGTGTATGGTGTGCATACTGTTTTTTTTTTTAAAGCATCCAAGGGCTTAGAGAATTGAATTTAGTGACAGATCTGTTCGTAGCTTTTGTTGGTTAACCAAAAGGTGGCTTCCAGCCAGTACCAGTACCGTGGTCTCTATCACCCAAGTTTTGCAGCTTCAGTCTTAAATGGCACACAGGTTGCTCCA